TTTTTTTTTTTTTGTTTTTTTTTTTTTAATTTTTTTCCCTTCGGAGTCCCAAATAGACAGTACTTTCTTTTTCTCCTTAACTTTTTTTTCTTTAGGAACAAACGTCTCTCAGAAGCATCCGAACCACGTGCGTAATCTGTACCAAGACGCGTTTTGCGTCCAGGTGCATTTACGAATGAGCCAAGTAGCAGTGATCGACCGATTAGTTCTGGATGTCATTTTCGAAGTAAGATCGCGATTACTCTTTTTTTTTTTGTTTTTTTATTATTACTTCATTTTATGTTGCTTTTTTTTTCCTTCTTTTTTTTTTTTTTTTTTTTTTTTTTTTTCCGTCAAAGAATAGTGAATAGTGAATAATGAACTTCAAAAAAAAAAAAAAAAAAAAAAAAAAAAAAAAAAAAAAAAAAAAAAAACTGAACTGCATTTCTTTTTCCTTTTCTCGTTTCTTGTGCTATTGGTTGAGCTGTGGCGAGGCCCAACTAGTTTGTCAAAGAGGACTGGATTTCACGCCTTAATCTGGACGTGTTTCGTGGATAGGTACAGAATATCACGATTGATGGTGCTGCTATGACAGGACTTAGACCTATTATAGAGGGAATGAATATGGGATCTCTTTTGTTAGCATTTAATCAAATTGCTAATAATGCAGGAATGCTACATTATACTTCAGGAGGGAATTTTACAACTCCTCTTGTAGTGCGTGGTCCTGGAGGAGTAGGAAGACAATTAGGTGCGCTGAACATTCTCAAAGATTAGAATCTTATTTTCAATCAGTGCCAGGACTTTTTCTCTCTGCATCTCTCCATAAAACACATCCAGATTCAGGCGCTTAATCCAATCCTCTTTCCTAACGGGACTGCGCGCATGGGGGGAGGCTCCACTTTTCACTCCCCTTCTTCCTGGCGGTTGATTACGCGCATCCATGGCCAGCCAGCGAGAGTCCGCAAATTCGGGCAAGCGGCGGGCAAGCGTACAACTTCGCCCCTCGAGGACGATAAGGGGGGACTCCGAGGTGTTAGCTATACTCCCATACTTCCCAGAACTGAATGCACCCACTTCATGACTGAATCTAACTGGAAAGACTGCTTGTATACAGTGGACATGATGAGGGAGCGTTCTGCGCGGAGGAAGGCGGTACGTCGGAATTGGAGGCCATTCAGTGTGACCGTGCTCTCTTAGGACCGAGGTCCCACTTGCATGCATTCTATATATATATCGTCAAAAAGAGCTGCCGACGGTAAACCGTAGGCAGAGAGGGAGGTAGAAGAGGACAACAAACGAGCGGCTGTGACAGACTGTTTCGACGGAGGTTCACCGACTCATCATATATATATATATATCTATATTATTATATATATATATATATATATATATATATATGAAATAGTTAACGCTGGATCCAGTATAATTTTGATCAGCCTCCTGACGAGTCGGCGAAACTCCCATAAAACAGTCGGCCACAACCCCTCGTTTGTTTTCCTCTTCTCCCTCTCTGCCCACGGTTTACCGGGCGGTTCTGTTTGACGATGGGCCTCGGCACACCATTCTGTGAAATGTGCAAAAGGAGAAGGAATTTCTCGCTAGAACATGGCCAGATGCACCCGCCACATTTTTGTCTTTTTCACATTTCGAGTGGTGTGGCTAGGCCCGATGTATTTATGTAAAGATCAGCTTAACCCTCGTTGGAGTTAAGCATCAACGAGAGTGCGTGATACCTCACTCGTTGATGCTTAACCCTGGTTAGGCATCAGGGCATCAGGGCATCTGTTGTCGGGCAGTCAGTGGAACGACGGCGAAAAGTCTGTCACAGTCCCTCCTCTGTTGTCCTTTTGCCCCTCTCTGGCTGCGGTTCACGGGGGGAAATTCTCTATATATGAGGACATGGGCCTAACTCCACTGCTCACCACATTGCATAAAAGGTAAAAAAATATGGCGGTGTATCTTCCCATGTTCTAGCAGAAGATTCATTCTCATTTTGCATATTTGGCGAGTAGTGGAGCGATACCTGATGTAGATACCTGATGTAGGTATAAACTTGCGTATGGTCGAAACAGTATATTCATAAGGCCTGGCTCACTACAGAAGGGTCCATATCTATCTGCGCGTATAATCGGGCCGGTACATTCAAAATGTTCGAGTCCTCCGAGTGCACCTGGTCCCGAAAGGGCGTCCAAATGCATGTACAATGTCGAGTAGTGTAGCGAGGCCCCATATCCACATATCGAACACACCGATTGAGCAACTGAACGAGTGACCTACTCCCTGCGAGACGTGTGTGTGTGTGTGTGTGTGTGTGTGTGTGTGTGTGTGTGTGTGTGTGTGTGTGTGTG